ACTGATTGAATGAGGGTATTTATTCGTAGCTAAATGCTTAATAAATTAGGATAAATAAGGTAAAGAAACAAACACGCAGATGAACTGCAGATATTGTAATTAAATTAACCTGATGTTATTGGTAATAGTGAAGTATGTGATCTGATGGTGAAACAAAATGGTAAGAAGATAAGTAACGGTAGGACACAAATTCTCTAAATAAGTATCAATATATATTTTTTTCAACATCAACTCTTTGTAACAGCAAAACCTGTTGTTCAGCCTTTTGTTTTAAAGCCCTGGCAGAGACAAGATGCTCCAGCTGACTCTCTGGCGCAGCGGGAGGTGCAGTCAAGCTGCCAGGTGGCTCCTGGAAAGTAGTAGGTCTCTGAGCCGAAGAGGTCTCCTGACTTGTCCGGCAGTCTTGTTTCAGGGCCGACAGCAGAAGTCCATACCAAGATGTTGCAGACACATTTCCAAGAAGATGTGACATTTTTTCTGTTCTTTTTTTGCGTTAGAACACAGCAAAAACTTTTCAGTTTAATACTGACACATTGAAAATCTCGCTGACAAAATAGTTCAACTAAAGAAACCAAACACACTGTGAGCTCAGAGGTGTGAGGTGCAGCATAAGCTAAAATGACAGTGCATCTCTATTTGTGACTTAGCCAAGGAGGAGAACTTTTTATGCTGACTTTAGTGATTTAAATTCAGGGTATAGGCTAGCCTATGTAAATTCACATAGTCTAAAATATTACTATGGTCAATAAATCCTGTTTCAAAACAGCAAATTAAATCCAACATAACATAATTGTAATTCTTTCACATGATCCGCTGTCAAATGATGCTTGGATGGCAGCAGTTGCTGTCAACGCTGCTTAAACATGAATGTTATTTTCATGTCATTGCCATCGCCATTGCCTCTTATTTAGCTGATGATGCACTTCTCTTTATGAACCTGGAAATCATAATAAATACAACCGAAAAAGAATCACTGAAACCTCCAGTTTCCTCAGATTAATTTTAAATAAATAAAAAATTGAGGATTTTAGACACCTATTTTGACTGTAATTACTGACCTACAGTTATATCTACCTTTAGTGTACTTAATGACAATGATATGAAATGACCCAGAAGCTACATAGCTGTTAATATTTGTACCTGCAGTTGAATCTGGATTCATGTTATAGTAGTCAGAGCTCTCCATGGAATCAACATGTATTCCTGTTACAACAATATGACAAAGAATTAAAGCTGGCTTTTACACAACACACAAAAAATCTGAATACCAATGTATATATTGCATGGTTTCATGAATTGGCGTGATCTGGCTGGCTATATTTCTTTGGCCATTTGGTCATTTATGTACATTCATTTCTGTTTGATTACCAATTTATTTTGATGCTTCATCTTTTGTGTACTAATTTTAATCACTCAGTTAAGTAAAATAATGTGCACTGCTTTGCATACTGTACCACTTCTATTGTTCCAAAGCGTCTGATTGTTTCATGGACACAAATATCACCTACAGGTCAAAGGAAAGGAAAAAATCAAATTAGTCACTTCAATTAAGTTTGAGACTGGATGAACATGAATATGTAGTAAAGAATGTACATAAGTAGTGAAAATGTAAAAGCGAGTACAAGTAAAAAGTTAATCATTTATTTTAAGATGAGCTAAGAGGGTTGTACCAACCTGTGAAACATGTATCTGTGAAAACAGATAATAACAGTTAAAATACATTACGTGATGTTTTGCCAACTGAACGGGATCCATGTCATGAAATCATAATTCCTTAGTCTTTAATAAGCAGTGAGTAAATTATCTAACATTAACAGTAAAAGGTCTTGGACTTTTGTACCAATACAGCAGCAGTGGCAGGGGAACAACCAGAAGATGCCAAACCAGCACAACGATCAACAGCACAGGAATGGAGAGCTGGACGCTGCAATAATAAAGAATAAGTATTGTCATGACTGAAAACAGATCAGTGATCTGAAAAAAAACATAGAACCAAAACATTATCAACAACATTATGTGACCTTTGTACTCTTTCTGATATCCTGGTAAAATACACTGAGGAAGGTGTTTGTGTTTTGTAGGCGGTAGTCTCCATTTTTATTATTGACTTCTATCATCGGGATTGGTTTCAATAAACTGTGGCAAACAATGTCTGCTAGTTAAGGATCTGAATCCTTTTGTCAATGTGATATTTCATTTTTTTTGTCTTTTTAATACATTTGCAAACATTCTAAAATCCTGGTTTGACTTTATCTTCATTGATAGTAGATTGAGGAGGGGACAATAAAAACATCTCCCAAAGATCTCTGAGGGTCTGAAAAGGTAGGCAGCTGACCAAACTGTGAGGCCTATGAGAGGGAGCACACAAACTTTCAAAAATTAAAAAGTGCATTGGACCAGAACTGTTACTGTTTGTGTACCAAAACACTGATTGACACCGTTTAAATATCTTAAGACAACAGTTAACATGTCAATTTTGGGTGCTACCACTTCAGTGGTTTCTGAGGGGGAACTCATACATCAACTCATCCAAACTCACATACAAAGGAAATAATTCCCGCTCAACCTACCTTGGTGAAATGAGGTTAAGTAATATGGATTGATTGAAACCACTGTAAGATATATGAGGGGGGAGGACGTAATTTTTCAAAAAAAACACACACTCGTAGCAAAGAACAAGCTGTTAATGTTTGTGCACCAAATACAACACAGAAGCTGACAGACAACGTCGTTTATTTCATTGTTTTGTCAAGATAGAATATGGAAATAGCAGATAGGCACCAAACCTCAGCCTTTTTGCGATGACACTTCACAGTCTTTTACAACTGCTTACAACAAAATCTTTCATGTCACATGATGGTTAAAACTTTTCACTCAGAGCAAA